CTCAGCCCACATGATATCCCCCTCATGGTGTGTGCCAGGTGCCATTTTGAACAACCAAACCCTGATCAGATGATGTTACATGATGTCCAAACCTGGACACTCTACTAGCTAAACAACCCACAAATAACCTACAATGAATAGGCTGTGTTAACATTATGATTAACCTATAGTATTCAAGTTCAAAGAACACAAAGCAACCCCCAGTCAGACCAGTCAGGAGCTGAACACTCCAGAAGACTGTGGAATACAACTGGCATGAGCAACGGCAGATCACAGGTTAACAAACACTGTTTGTCACCGTTTATGTACCAAAAGCCCTAATATGAAAGCTACCACTGAATTAAGCTCAGGGCATCCAGCTCCGCACCATAGCAGCCTTTCCCAGTCTCTTTTTTAGATGAAGTATCCTGGGTTTTGTTGAAAAGCATTTCGCAATTGTTGTGGGGAAAAACCCCAGGCACTAGGTAAAATATCAGGTATGGGTGCTTCCAGAAACAGACCATTCCGGGTTCTACAAGTACACCATCCTTCCCTCTGTTAATGGATTTTTGTGGGGGGGGGGAAAGATGGGAAAAGCAGTGGGGAAAAACAAGGGAAAGATGGAAGTTGATGATATCTGGATCCCCCATAAAATTCCATGGATACAGCATGGTGATTGCAGGAAAAAGCATCTCCTTGTGTATAATATTCTGTGTATTTTGATACCATCTTTCAACCATCTTCCCAGGGTGGTTTACAAAAAGAATAAAGCCATTACAATGTAAATACAAATTGTAAAATAATCTTAGAAACCACAAAAGTATAAAAGCAGCGTAAGACAGGCCACAGGATTAAAATTGCTTCTAAAAAGCTCAGGAACATAAAATGATCTTTGCCTGGCACAAAGGGACACGTCTAATGTGAACGGCCTCAGAAATCTGGTCCAATTCCAAAATGTATTTTTCCCCAACTTTATCTTGCCTACTCCCTCAGTTTACCCGGCATGCTGCAGAAATGGTCTTTCTTCTATCCCCAAATGATTTCCGTGGTTCCCTCTATCCCAGATGAACACCACAGGCAGAAAGCAGACTTGTCACACTTCAACAAGCCGGTAGCTGTTTCCACAGCATCTAGGTTGAAGCCCGGACCGCGCACAATATCCTGAACTCAGCACGGCCTTACCAGAGAAGTCTGCAAATCCAAAGGCTTTGCAAATTATGCCCAAAGGCATGGTTACATCAGTTTCAGATGCTCACAGTACCTGACATGAGCAATGGTGAGCTCTCTCCTTACTTGCCAAGACTAAAAGGCTGAGGCCCACTTACATCTGGAAAAATCAGAGAGTTCATTGTGATTACTTGCATGTGTGAATCAGCCATGCACAGGCTGACCAAGAGGCTGAGGATGTTCTCATGATTACACATGATTCCATGGGACGCTGTGGCCTGCACTTTCTGATGGGAACAGTTCACAAACTGGGAAGGCAGCCTGTACTCACAGGCTAATCAAGAGGTACACATGTGAGCATTAGCCAGTCCAAAGCAAGTTGCCTGGAGGCCACGTGTCCCAGTAGGTCAGAAGGAAGCTTGCATCCTTGCTCTTTCACATCTGCCTGCCTGTATTTAGCCTGAGCTGAAAGAAACATTTCAGAAATCTGGAGCAATCATCAGCATGGCAGCAGATGGAAGTCCAGGACCTCAATTCTAAACAGGCCTAGTAGAAGTCATTTCCATTTACTTCAAACCAAGCCTCACACTCAGAAACCTACAGCAGCTGTGGGTTGCCTTACTTCTGTCCACAAGGTGACTTCGCCCAATTCAGCTTCTATTTGCTTTTGTTTTTAAGCCTTGCTTAAGAGCCCAAATTCACCTTCTGCTTGGCTAGCATAAAAAACTACCATTTATTATTTACTTCTGTTTTCTATCTACCAAGAATCCCGTGCGTTTTGCTTAAGGCTGGAAGCAAATCTGACTGTGCTTGTGATGTGCATGTAGCGGGGGGGGGGGCGGGGGGGATCAGCCATCACCTACTTTTTGGTTGGCCCCAACAGTACTAGGGACAACTGAGACATGCACAACACTTTGCGGAATCTACGTCATGTGGGCTGGAGCTGCTCCTCCATTCCGCCTTGAGGCTCCAGCCATGGTCCAGTGCAACCCACTTTGCACACAGAAGATCCCAGGCTCAGTCCTTGGAATCTCCAAGCGGAGCTGGAAAGGAATTCTGCCTGGACAGTGCCTAGATGACCTTGGGGTAGAGGAGCCAAGTGTCTGAGTCCATGCAGGGCAGTGTCCTGCATTCCTATGACTTCTGGTCTTTTCTCTCTGTCCTCAATTTTTCTAACATCTAAACTGATGAAGAAATCTGGAGATCTCAAAACTTTCCCACAATTCTGTGTGTTTTTGATTTGTCCTAATAAAATCATTGACTAACTGTGGATATTGGCATTCTTCTGATGGTCCACCAGGTCTTACTATATTTTGTGTTTTAAAGGGGCTGCCCCTATTCCAGGCTACAAGCAGACTTGACGGTTAATTAAATAACTGTCCTTATGCCATGGTGCCATCAGTGAGTGAAATAGGGTGCTTTTACCCCACTCCACCTGGTCCATTCAAGGCACCTCACTACAGATCCAAGAACACTTAGGAGTTAGGAAGAAGTGGAAAGATCTGTGTCAAAGACAATCTACAGTTTACTAAAAACATTAAAAGGTGAAATATGCATGCAGATTATCAATAAACAAGCAAAAGAAAAGGTTACAGGTTTCCTTTTAGTCATGGGGCTTTCTGAAATGACAGGTGTCACAAGGATATCATGCATGTTCCTAGTTCCAAGGGGAAAGCCAAAGAGCAATGCTTCCCATGGATTTTAGACAATTCTTTCCTGCCTCTGTTTCAGAGGCGATTTATACAAACAAGCTAGCCCCATTTCCTGGGGGACAAGAAAGGAAGTTGAGAAAAGGCCCAGCTATCCCATTTACCTGCAGCAAACAGGTGTTTAAGCATCTTTCTCCCGGTGATGAGCTAGGAATTCACAGCACCTGGAGGCTGATGATCCCTGTCCTGTGTTGAGGTCCTACAGGTTTCTCACAGTTTCCAGGCATCTGTAACTACAGCCAATGCCTGTATGGGATGCTGGGAAGCATTTGCCAGCAACTCTTTGCCACAATCATCACTCTTCCAGCTATCAATCCCAATTCACAGGGAATCAGCATTAAGGATTTTTTTTGTTGTTGTTGTTGTTGCCTTTGTCACCTCAGGAAATGACTAGCAGAAGGGAAACAAACCATGTGTGTATCTAAGGGACATTTCCTTAACTGGATTTTGTGAAACCACCCTGTATGTAGCAAGGGCTGAAAAACACAGAGCCTTTGGATGTATCCTATAAAGCTGGGACTAGGGGAGGGCAGCTGTGGCAAAGGAAAAGAGCACCCCCAGTGGGTAGAATATCTGCCCCGTATTTTGGTTCATGTGCAAATGCAAACTCAATTCCTAATTATTATGAGACATAAAGAACTAGCTGCAACAGATGCTCTTAACTGAGCCCGCCTTGCAGTTGCAAGCTTTATTTTGGGGGAGAGCCATTGCACAGTAGCTGATTGTTGGCCCTGTGAGTCCAAAGGCCCAGTTACATGCTGGCATCTCCGGCTAAAGGATCAGGCTGCTTGCAGGAAGAAAGAGCAGCTTCTCCCGTGCTGGGGAGGCTTGGAAAGGGGAAGGCCAAAGACTCTGGAGTGCCATTATTGGTTGGAATAGATAGGTAGCAGTGAGCTGCAGCAGTTAGAATGTCAGATTTGAAAAACACTTGGGTTTTACACCGCATTCAGCTGTCACATTTGCCTACCTGAGAGCCTCACCTAACTGAACATAACAATGGGGTTGAAGGCTGAGAGGGAAATGCATCACACACATAAATAATAGACCTGAGGCTCGATGGGGCTGACTCCTTTCTCCATGAGGCTCCTCATCCAGTGCAGGCTCCTTTTTGACTTTACAGAATGAGTGAACCCTAATGAATAATATTATTCAAGAATGAATGAATGAAGAGGGCAACCCTATTTGGGGGATGGAGTTCAGGACCTTGAACAGTTCTTATGCAGCTCCTATAAAACTGAAAAGAAAAGCTGCAATGGATAAGGAGCCCCACTGACAAAGGGATCACCTCCCTTCCCTGGAAATAGGACCGATCTGAAGACAACAGCATCCTACACAAGGTGTTGAAGAGCAGCCTGCGCATGGAAGCATCCCTCTAACTGGGGACCTGGGCTATGGGAATGAAAGAAATGTAAGCCACAGAATCGCCAGGCTAGCTCTGCAAGGCTCCGTTGAATGTCAAAGTTGCCAGATTCTTCATTCATACCAAGAGAATTCTGCCAGTCTGAAATGGCACTGGAGAACTGCGCTGAGGGCCAGCCCTGGTGCTACAGATAACTTTCCCTCTGGGCACCTGTTCCTGGAATTCATGGCAGACAGCCCTGCGGCCTCTTGTTCCAAATTAAAATGAAAGTCAACAGGAATTGCTGCTTCTCTCTCTCTCTCTCACACACACACAGGCTAGCAAGGACCTGTCAATTTGCCTTCCCCAGCCTGGTGCCTTCCAGGTGTGTTGGACTGCAGATCCCTGCATTTGACAGCTGGAGGAGGGGCAGGAGAAGGAAGTCTAGTTCACCCTTCTCTGCCTCAGTCATGCTACACGGAGATAGGGCTGGGCAGGAAGGTGGTATTCCGTGTGTTAAAGCACTTGTGAAAAACGGGAGGTGCATCTCTCTGCCTGCGGGTCTCTTTACTCCTTGCAGCCTTTCTCTCCGCTTCGTAGGAGCTTTGCCCTGCGCTTCATGGTGGCAAACCTAGTTTGGGAACGGAGTTCAGCACCACGGGTAGCTCCTGCTGCGCCGGAAAGGAAGGCTGCGTTGCAGGAGGCGGCGCACGGACGAAGGAGTCCCCAGCCTCCCCGGGTGAAAAATATGAACCTAGACTCCATCTGCCTCCCTTTGCCAATGCAGCCCATCACCTGGGACTCACCCCCTTCACCTGGGAACAGACAGCGTGGGAGAGATACCGCCCCAATTACGTAGGAAAGGAACGGCGATCCGTCAGAAGTGGGGTCAGTTCCAGCTGGGCAGCCATGCTAGCCCCTGGCTAGCAAGAGCATGCAAGAGTTTGGCGACCTCTGAAAGGATTACACACCGGCGAAGTGAGGCCGGGGCTCGGGGCTCCCGGGCCGTTTTTGATAAGCAGGGACTGTGAGGCCCTGGGCTACCCCTCCCTCAGGCTTGCCTGCCCCCTCTGTGCCCACCGTGGTTCGTTCGTTCTCATGAGAATAAATTTCCCAACAAAGGCAGCTGCCTGAATTACTATGTACTTAACTGTGCGTCTTATGTTCATAATCCACATTTTTGGAATAAAGAACCCATGGTCGCTTACAAACCCTCTTTTTCCTCTTCTCCATTTTGTCCTCACAACAACCTCATGAGGTAGGCTACCAAGAGTGAGGTGCCCGAAGCCACCAGCGGGCTTCGTGGCTGAATGAGGACCGCAGCGCGGATCTCCGCGTCCCTGCCGGCATCCCACCCAGGGCACGGCTCTGGCTTTCTCCGGAGGCCCGTGAGGCGCACGCAGCGGCACGGACTCGCGTGCCAGCGCTCTTGCATCGCACAAAGCAGACCGCAGCCCAGGAGAACTTGTGCCGTGATGAACGGGTTAACCTTTAAAGTGCCACGAGTCTCTCTGCTGGGCTTCCGAGGAGGGCAAGCGGGCGACTGAGAGGGAGGTCCGCGCGCGCCTGGCAGGACCCCGTGGGGCGGAAGGGGCGGGGGGGGTGGAAGGCAGGCGGGGGCGCGCTCCGGGGAGACGGGGCTGGAGACAACTTTTGCCGCACGCTCTCCATAGGGCCGAAGCTATTTGGAGAACGGCGCTCGGGACCACGGAGAGCTCCCGCAAAGTTCAGCATGAGCGCTGCCGCGAGGAAGAGCCCCACCGGCACGGGGCCCAGCAGCTGCCCTTGCCGGCACACCCCTCGGCGGGACGCCCCCCGCCCCAATTCCCGGCAGGCAGAAACGGGCAGGGGGAAGCAGGGCGGCGGCAAAAGCACCCCAGCTCGTGAAAGCCGCGTTGGGGGCGGGCACCTGTGACCCGCCGCCGCTGTGGGACGCCAGCCCCAGGCAGCCAGCCTCGCAGGGCGGCCGCGCCGCCCCGGAGCCTGCGCGCGCGCCTCTGCGCCCGGCCAGGCGCTACTCCCGCACTTCCAGCGCGGCCCGCGGCCGCCGCCGCCCCCCGCCCGCGCGCCCCCCCTCCGCGCCCCGCTCCCCCCCGGGCGCCCAGCC